AATGATTTTTGATAAACGTGACTTTTCACCTGTTACTATCCCATATTGTTTTTATTACATATTATCGATTCCTCGCATTCAGTATCCACGAAGGTCTTCGGACCTTCTCTGCACTTGGATTCGGCTGTTTGAGGATTTTTTTCGCCTTTAGCAAGAATGTAGCTGAATGCTAGTCGTGTCGGTTTTTTCCGTGGCCCAAGAAATTGAATATTAAAGCTTAGTTGATCAGAACACCGGAGGGCTAAGGTCTACTAGTGATGTCAAGAAAATGAAGGCATTAGCTTGAAATAAATGAGGACAAGCTGCTTGATATGTAACAGAGAAATCGACAAGATTTCGTGTCATTATAAACCATGAAGAGCTAAGAAAACTCTGCAGGCCTTAAGATTAGATTGAATACGATTTCAGTAACAAATATTTCTGCAACGTCAAGAATTCAACAATTCATTGCTTACACGGAATATTTGAAAAGAATGCCCAAGCTTGTCACATGTCGGCAAAGTTGCATCGATTGTAATATTTCTTATTTCAGTTGATGGAATTAAATTTTTAAAGGACTAGAACATTCCACATTTTCCGCTCACACTTGGAGATTTTTTGCTGAAGAATGAATCAAAGCTGCCATAGACATAAGCAATTCTATACAATAGAGGGCACGTTGGCGCGTGTGCGAACAGATGTTCGATCATCATCTAGGCCTCTCGTTGTCGTTCTTGTTTCATTTATGGTTAAATCATAAAGCGGTGTCGATCACTGGCTGTTCAACTAAGGTCATTTAAAGTCAGGAAAACACTGCAGTCAATGCACGAGAAATTTTTTAATTGGTCAATGAATGCGGTATCTCTACAAGGTTCAAGCAGTAGCCTTCACTTAAGACAGCTCAACAGACCATAGAGAATAAAGGATAAAGCCCTCAGCGTTGATCAATCACTGAGGGATGCACCTTGCATTCGACTTCATTAGGCATCGTTGGATGTGATTGAATACATATCTGACCTACATAAAGACTGGCAGTGGCCTACCGATGTATCGAGTGAGTGCTGCTATCCTCCCATACAAGTCTAGTACCAATTTGTCGATCCTGGAGGGATGGAAAGCTTGGTAAACCGGGGGCGGCGGAGATCGATCCCATATATCACCGCGTGCGTAAAAATATTGGTGAGAGGATATTATGTGTTCAGTTGATTCTATTTCTCCATCTTTTTTCTCCCCTACCTCTCTCGTTCTTTCTTTTCTATTTTTCTCTCTCTTTTTTTCCACATTACCTTTTAAAAAAGCAGAGCCGCTCTCAGCCTCTCACATTAGGTAAAAAAATATCGTAATATGTTCCTGTGAAAATGTTCTAAAAATAGATCAAAGCCACAGGGAATTGAATACTATGAAAAGCTGCTTGAAACTTTTTTTATTCCGTTGAAGCAGCACATTACAACACCGAAACGAAAAGTTACGAACGCCAAACCGTCCGTTATAGCCCTAAGGAGTCACCATTAGACCCTATGGCTTTAGATCACGAACTACTTCCGCTAAAGTCAAATTACTTAGGTACACCTAAGCAGCTTCATCCAGAACTTACAAACTTAGCTGAAGTCACACGCTTTCCCTTGACTAAAATAGGTCAGAAGTAATAGAAGTTGTTCCTGGCTGCAAATACGAAACTAAACTGGTTCATCTTTTTTTAGATCAACGTTTGCATCCTCCAATAATATCCTCAGGATGTTGCTGAGATATTTGCAAAACTCTGGACCGCAGGTGTCTATGGTGGGGAACGAACGCCCTCAGGTTTTCTGACTCATCCTGTAAGAATATCCTCAGGTTTTCTGACTCATCCTGTAAGAATTAGCCATACTTCCGATCCCATTAACCACCATGGAGGTGATCGAATGCGCATTGAACTCGTCGGTGTATCAAATCGGTGTTTTTTTCCCTCTCAGAGAAGTCTGATATCAATTTACTTATCCTAAGAGGATGGAAAGCTCTGTTTTCTCGAAGCGCAGGATCAAACAGCATATGTCTTTCAGACGGCACTTCAAACCGTTGCGCTACATCTTTTTTCTTTATTTAGTACTGAAAATATTTACAATCCTTGTTCAATCGAAAATCTGCTCTGGTACGATGTTTAACGATCCATTTATTTGCAAACATAGTCATGATTGGTTGGGCAGTGCGAATTAGTCCCAATACTTGCGACTAGGAGAAATTTTGTCCACGCTGCGGCTGAAATAAAAGATCCTCTCCCACCAAAACCGAACCGACAAATTGGGAAATGTCTAGTGTTAGACATGAAATGAAAGAAATCGATGCACTAAAAAGCAATATTTTTTGTTTTTCCCTTTTACAAACGTTTCACACCCGATTCCCTGTCTTTGGTTCAACTCGCACAGTTTCTTTCCATTATTCTTTCTCAAAGCTCTATCGCGATTCCCAACTCCAACTTTTTATTTCTTGGCATTGATAAATAATTCGCTATTTTCTTGATAAGCACGTACGAGGTATTATTGTACTATATGTATGTATAGCACCAGGTCCAGATAGGACAAGACCAGAACACCTGAAAAACTATCCGCCAGTCCTCGTAAACACACTGGCTCGGCTCTAAACACGTTACCTATCTGAATGCAAGGCAACTATTCACTGGAAGACCAGCAAGACCGTGTTATTGTTCGAGATGGGCGAACTACACGATATAGGCAACTATCGCCCAATCTACCTGCTGCCTGTCGTCTACACTTTTCACTCGAGTCATCCTAAACGGGATTGGCAGAACACTAGACGAAGGACAGCCATGTGAGCAAGCAGGGTTTCGAAAAGTATTTAGTACGATGGACCACATCCACACGATGACAAGGGTCATTGAAGTATCGCGAGAGTACAAAAGACCGCTCTGTCTCACTTTCATCGATTTAGAGAAGGCCTTTAACTCAACTGAGATGGAAGCAGTCATCGAAGCCTTTGGCAGTCAAGGAGTCCCTACTCAGCACACAAAGATTCTTCGTAAGCTTTACTAAACTTTTACAACAAAGACGTCACCATTCTACAAAGATATTAACGTTGACGCCAAATAAGGGCATAGGCTAGGCGACACCATCTCACCAAAATTGTTTACCGCCACTCTCCAGAACGTCATTCGAACATTGGAATGGGATAATGTGGGGTTGAAAATCGATGTTCGGCAGTTACGCCATTTTCTTTTTGTTGATGCTATCGTCCTTATAACACCAAACATTAACCAAGCGAAACGAATGCTTGCCGACTTTGATGAAGCCTGTGGAAAGATTGGTCTTCGACTAAATCTCACAAAACGGTGTTCATGAAGGACGGATTTGCTTCGTATGCCCCATTCACGCTCAACGGAACGAATACCTCCGAATGCTTCAGTTACGTCTATAGAGATGGGGAAATCAATATGTTGAACGAGTTAGCTCCAGAGTTTAGCAGAAGGAAACGAGCAGCTTGGGGAGCTTTCAAGAGCATCGAGGATGTAGTGAAGAGAACAAAGAACACCCGACTCGTGCCCACCTTTTTGACTCAACGATACTTGCTTCCCTAACGGATGCGTCAGAAACTTGATCGATGCGTAAGCAGGATGAAAGATCACTAAGCGTTATCGAACGGGCAGTCGAAAGGACGATGCTAGGAGTATCCCGTTTCACACAATTAATGGACAGGGTCCGAAGCTCCGACCTACGTCAACGATCAAAAATCAAAGATGCCGCTCTAAGCGCCAAACAGTCGAAGATAAGATGGGCCGGACACCTAATGCGTATGAATGACAACCGATGGACAGGAGCCGTTAGTGACTGGATTCCCTGGGATATCAAACGTACTGCAGGAAGACCGGATGGTCAGAGTTCTTCACGAAGGCGAAGAAGTAAGATATCATGCCCGACGAGTCCCTAGAGCCAGCAGAACCCACTGGGTTACTCTTGCGCGCGACAGGGAAAAATGGAAGATTTACTAGATCCCGCTCGAGTCACTCGGCTATCAAGGGGACTACAGGGTGACAGGTGATATATATGTATATATGTATATATATATATATATGTATACATGTATATATATATGTATACATGTATATATATATATATACTTGGATAATTAGACGGCCCGTCCTTACTAGTTGTGCGGGCCTCCGCATAGTCTTTATTTTTCGGAGTTTTGCTGATTTAGCTATTGTTTCTCTAGAGTACCGAGATCAGCCTAGCGAGTTTGACACAGATCGTCACCACCACAGGCAGCTGCCGCCCTTGTGGATCAGAGGAAGATTTGCCACCATGCGACTAGTTTGATACCAAGACGGTGGTCGATCCTAGTATTGGTTTGCTCTTAGCTAAACTTCCTGATGGAAAACCCAGGCTCGTTCTCACCTTGGGAGACTCTGCCAGAGAAACGAATCTCTCCCGCTGTACATTGCAGGCCCGACACCCAGGAACATCTCCCAGCCAAGATGAGGCGGTAAGCCGTTGGGAGGATATATATATATATATTTAAAATAGCTAACGTTTCGGAAGCGTTTGCCCTATTCAGAGTCTAGAAAGGTGAGGTTAACTGCTACCTAGTTAGCCAAGCACCTCCATAATCTCAAAAGAACAAAGCACAACACCTAATTTTCAACAACGTCGAAATGAAGCGGCTTCTTCAAAAAACTAAATTTTCTTTTTGTTTTCTCAAATGTTGAAATCAGGCGCAGCAGTTTCATTCTGTTGAGGTCTTGGAGGTGTTTGCCTTACTGGGTTACAGTTAGCTTTACGTTTCGAGACAATGCCGAAGGCGAAATCCACCGAGACATCAGCTTTTGGAAATAAATAATATATATTAACAACCTAGTATGCGTTTGTCAAAGATAGCAAAATATGTATTGTGACTGTTTTTCTCGTAGTAAAGAAATGTGAGTAGAATTGCGACGAAAAACCACGAGATGCAGTGATGATTGATGATTCTCGCCTTCATCTTCGTTCCGCCTTCGTCTCAGGCCACGAGACAATGATGTTCATTTCAGACCAATGGTGTTCAACATCAATCGATTCCATTTTTTCGTACTACTGACATGGCAGTTCTCCATCTTTTTTGCTTCACAGCAGATATTTCCGATTTTCTCGAACTACGTTCCAGAATGGCAGTGCGGTAAGTGAAATTGGTTGTATTTCCGGCTTCGCTCGAACAAACCGTCCGGTTGCGTGATCGATAGCGCAGTCTATGTCGTTAATGGGGCAACAAGAAACTGCCTTCGTGGTGGTTCTCGCAAAAAAACGATTCATGCAGAAGCTGATTTTTTTAGTTGATCTCAACATTAAAGCTTTCAGAACATCTGGACCGATAGATAAACTTAGAAATGGATTTTTATGGGGGAGGGGTAATGTTCGCTTATGAGAAACCTCATCAAGGAAGATGCTCTCTGGAATGTTAGGATTGTTCCGCTAGAGTCTTTGCTGGTCTTTACCGAAGGCGTACAGCGGCTTTTGTGGGGTGGAGTAAGGTTTTTTCGGATGGGTCAGATATCGGTCGGTGAGGGTTCGAACTGTCGAACTGCAATATAGAGCAGTGTTGCACCTTCTTCAGTGTCACCTACATTGTCACTGAAAATCTTAAGAAATAGTCAGTCAGCCAATCGTCAGAATCGTTTTCGGCCTGAAATAAACGGTAACAAGACAGTAAACTATTCTTATGCATTCCTTATGGTCAACGTCAGGCAATTAATGTGAGTGCGTCGACCTGGTAGTCGCCTTCATTTCAGGGCTCCATGAGATGAAATTTGAGCAGGCACGGAATCCCGGTGAACATAGTGCTAAAGTCCGGACGACTTGTGAAGATAGTTTATAAAAACAAACAAGCTCTAAAGAGGTATCAAAAATAGTGCTTGCGCTAAATTGTCTTTGCTTGCCGCGTTGCCCTCCTCATAGGAATAGGACGAGGGAATCCATCAGTGTAACCTAGTAATAACGACAGCTATGATAACCGTAGAGAATCCTAGCGGATCGGTGAACCTAAACCATTTCTTTGTTTATGACTTGGTTTCAATGCGAGAGTGTCTTTCGCTGTCAAAAAAAGATTTGACAAATGATATGAAACAATTCCTCGAACTATAAAATGGTATGAGCCCATGTTACGTCAATCTCCCACCCTTCTATATTTCAGTATTCTATAACTTTTTTCAGTGTAAAGTATTGATTGAAGGGTGGTGCAAAAGGGCTGCGCCGTCCAGAGAAATTTATTCCAGATGATGGATTGACGTCAAAAAACTGCACCACGTACAACACTTGCAATGGAACCTTAACCTATCCATACTTGCAGTTTCATTCAGCGGCTTTGGAGTGAGTCCGACTTAAAATCATCTTACAAAGACACCTAACACATCGAAACCTGCAGTTCTCTAGCTAGCTTTTTCCTCTACGGAATTCTACTTCATTTAATTATTATTTTTTGAAACGTGTGCTTGTTTTCACAAGCAATTATTTTACGTGCAGACGTTTAACAACAGACACGCAACGACGCAACGCAAGATCAAGATGTGAACTGAGATCAACTCTTAAAGGCGGATCTACTCACCCCCGCACGGTGGAGTTATACATTCTCTCATTAACAACAGTCTTTGTGCTTCTCCGTGGGCAAAAAGCTCGGGAAATACAGAAAGAAACATGTAACCGCTCTCGTGCAACAAGAGACGTTTTTGCATTCCACCCTCCCCGCTCTACCCAGCACTGTTGCAAGCTAAGATACCTTTGCGGCTTTCCCACCAACAGAAGTCTCCGTCGATTGACGAACAAACCGAGAAACGTGGACTTTACATGTACATGAATGCTTTTCTCGGTCAAAGTTTCCCACAGTGACTATGAGATCTATCTGTGGAGTTAAAAACGTAGCAAGAAAAACTCCATGTGGCAAAGAAAATACCCATAGAAGTCAGGTGTTAAAATCGACTCACATCATCCGTTATATATTACGTAAAGTCTTTTATAGTAATTTGTCGGTTTTTTTATACGACCCGTCTTACCCATTGCCATTCACATCGCACCATATCTAGAATTCGATTCATTTCTTCGCATCCTTAATCCGCGAACGCCATCGAACTGCGTGTTGTTTCAGCTGCTGTTCGAGGATTTCGTCTTCTTTATGGATGTTGCTAAATGCTGATCGAGTCGGTTTTCCCTAAAGCACTAGAATAGCCGGGTTAGAGCGCTCCCAGATGGACTGCAATGACTGAGGCTTTGCCATAGAAATCTGGTACCAATTTCCTGACTCCGATGGGATGAGTGGTTTCGTGAGCCCGAGGTGGAGTCGAACTATAGCGTATTCGCGATGAACGACATCACTGCCACAGCACTACTCGCCTCTCTGATTAACTGACTGAATGAAATATTTATTTATATGGTCTTATAAACTGATCTTCTTTAGCTGATGTGAGGTTGGTATAGGTCTTCGTTGTCCTTGTCGTCGTTGTTGGTGTTGTTGGTCAATGGCTGACGCTTCGGCGATTTCGCCTTCCTCAGAGTCTGGACGTATTTCATATTAGAATACTTTTTCCACCGAATAGTTAAAGTATTCCGTCCAGACTCTGGAAAAGGCGAAATCGCCGAAGCGTCAGCCATTGACCAACAACACCAACAACGACGACAACGACAACGAAGACCTATACCAACCTCGCATCAGCTGAAGAAGATGAGTTTATAAGATCATATAAATAAATATATCAAGTGTCTATGCGGTGGGTTACAGAAAGTCGGTCTTTTGAGTTATCTGAATAAAACTTTTTTCAAACATTAAAAATTTGTCGTGACAACAGTGATAGACGGGACGCAATCAAGAAGATTATGAGTGATACCTCAGGCCTTAAATTATCTGGATACAAAACGAAGGTATTAAAGAAATGTTTGTGAAAATCTATGACTATGTGAGTTGATTTGTTTTTTGCAGTTGTTCAACAAGCAACAAAAATAGCAACGTTGAGGAATTTTTACTTTATGTGAACTATTTTGACCGATCGCACTCCTTTCTTAAGAAAAAGTATAAAAAGATAATGTTCTGTGCCTGATCAATCTCTGAGGATTGCGCTATGCATTTAACTTCATTGTGCATCGTTGGAGATGATTGAATGCATATCTAGCCTTTACAATGACTCGCGGTAGCCTACCAATGGGTTCAGCCAGTGCTGCTATCCTCCCAAACAGGCCTGGTAGCAACTTGTCGACCCTGGAAGGATGGAAGTTCTGGTGAGCTTGGGACGCGAGATCAATCCGACGTGTATTGCGTGGCGCCTCCGACCACTGCGCTGCATGTGCCCATTTTTTATTAACTACCAAATTTTATTTTTATTTGTTAAATAGAATACGGTTTGCAACGAAACGAATTAAAAGAGGTGAAAACGAGAAGGAAACCTATCCTCAAATGAAGTGTTGCGTGATAGTATTTAGCTCAGTAGTTAAAGTTGCTTTACACTAGACACGTGGTCTTTGGAACGATTTCAGGGGTCAGCAAATCCTCTTTTCATCCGGGGTCATCAACTGATAAAAGACGTTTCTTGGAGGATAGCAGCACATGAATCGGTTGTCCGCCAAAAGTCATTGAATAAGCTGGATATGCAGTCAATCCACTATACTTGATGAAGTGTAGTGTATGGTACATTCCACAGAGGTTAACAGCAGCGAACGCTTTAACCTTTGTCTTTATCATAACTATGGAGGGTTTTCGAACGGATTTCTTTGGCCAGTGGTTGCATAGAAATAAAGATGTTTAAAATAACAGAAACAAAGAGAAGCGAGACGTCGGTGAATTTCATTACTTCAGCTGAATGAGTGATTTGTCTCGCAGAAAGTTTTAACCCGAAAGAAAAGAGAGGTATTAAACCTCTCATTAATTCTGTGTGTTGTTGCAGATTCGGTTGGATTTGTGGCAAAACTGCCTACTTGGCATCGCTTTTCTCACAAATTCAATTCATCGGTGTTCTATGTGGTGGGTATTATTTCTTATAAATGTCTTAGTTCTAGAAAACAGAAGCTTCAACTTGTTCTATGCCACGGCTTTACTTCTAGATTGTTAATTCAGCGTTATTGTCTTTAGGGACGTTTTCATTTGGCGCTCTCTCTGACATTTTCGGACGAAAGCCTATAGCTATCGTTGCGGTGTCGATTGGAATCCTTGCGAATTTCGTAACAGGTCAGCTTGCGTTCGAAAGATTTCTTCACAGAAATGTTTTCTCTGATTTATGTTCTCCGTTTCACTTAAATATCAGGAAAATTAGCGAAATTTCTCTTAGTACGCGTTAGTAGGAAGGGACGAGAGGAAACATCCAATGTATTGCTTGAAATCCGTATCGCTAACGTTTTATTGCAACCTGTTGACTTGAAGTCTTTATAAATAATCGTCTATAGTCTATAGTCGTATAAATAGTCTTTTAAAAATGATGAGTTTTCATTTATATCAGAAGGTTCTCTGAGGCTCCTGCAACTTCCACACAAAAAAGAGCTATTTTAAATTTCTCCCTAAGTTACTACAATTTAACCAGTTAACCGATTGGCCTTGTTGAACAGTCAAATAATTCTTAGTATTATTCAGAAGTTTCTTCCAGGATTATCCCCGACATGGCAGATCCTCATGGCGATACGATTCTTCGTCGGTTTGACAGTAGGCGGAACTTTGGTGGTGGTGTGTACCTTTGTGATGGAAATGTTGCTTCCACACCAACGAATGGCACTCAGAGCGTTCTTCAATTGGGTAACTGAACAAAGCAATCGCCAAAAATCGTGGCTAATCTGTCAACTTTTTGTGTACAATAAACACTGATGGAAAACGCAATATCTTTAAAAATTATGGAGAATTTTAAGTGTTCATGCACTTTCACAAGTGTAAGGAATGAGAAAAAACAGAAAGAAAAAAACAGATGTTACTGAGATGACGTCTTGTGAGATTACAGTCAGGATCAATAGCTTTCTGAATTTAACCCACCACTGTCATTAATGTCAGCTCCGTTCTCTTCTTTTCGAATAAGTGACTTTCAACTCAACCTAGTTCATGAGTTTGCTACCCTCTTGCATTTACAGAACGTTTCCTAGTCTTTCTGTTTTTCTGATAATTTCTAAAAGTTTGCTATTCTATTATATAATCGGTTCTCGACATAATTAAAGACTTTTCTTTCTTTGTTCTCTCCAAACAACTACGACTTCAGTATTCAGGGTGTAGCAAGACTAATTTTGACACTGATATGTATGATATTCCCGGAATGGAGGGCAGCCAGCGTTGCCTGTGCGCTCACAGCTTTACCGGCTCTTCTCATACTGATTTCCGTCTTTCCTGAAAGCCCAACATGGCTTCATAATAAGGTACCAATCAGATATGGCAGTGAATCTCCTATTCTAAAAGTCAGTTTTTAAGTTTTTCTTTTGTTGTAGGGTAGATTCGAAGAGATGCGAAATGCGGAACGGTACATTGCCAAAATCGCCGGGATCGAATATAAACCAGTGGCACACAAAAAGATCGAGCACAGCAAGGTTTGTACTGAAATGAAATTCACTACTCGTTCGTAAAAATTGGGGTGACAAATTGACATCTGCACTTTTATTTCAATTAAAACGTTTTCTTTCCCTTCCTATGATTTATTACTATATCATAGCAAACAAGTTCCGCGTATTAAATAGCGATGTGAAGCGACGTATTCATTCAGTCAGCGAGATCACTGAAACAGCGAGTGGATTTAACACTTGCATCCGGAAGTCCAGCTGTGAGTAAAGATCCTGCAGATGGCGAACCCCTTGCTACTGTAAACGACGTCGTATCAAAAGCATAGTGCTTTCTGTGTTCCTTTAGCGAGCTCACTTTACTGAGCAGCTCTGGGCTGCAGAACACAAATGAAGAGTCTATTGCTCGAATTAATCAATGATTCACGCGACTCCATATAATATGGGTGATATCTTTTTACGGATCTTCTCGAGCAAGTGATCTCGTGAACTAGTTGCACGTCTATGTTGTGTCTAAATTTTCAACTGGAAAATTAAATTCGGCCTAGAAGCGAGTTAACACTTTTTCTGAGTGACAAGTCAATCTGGGGTTGAGCGTTTTTATGTGTCAGATTGGTTTGAATTTCCTTGAGTAGACGTATTAATGTTCAGCTGTATAGGTGTACTTGCGCGCATGCCAATCTTGAAATCTGGAAATCTTGAACCTCGGTTCTAGTCAGAGCTTTTAATTGAGGGCTTTGAGTGGGAAACACCAACGAATCAGCGGTTTGGGTTTTTCGCAAAAATAGCTTCTTCCCCTTACCTAGCCTAAAATGTTTTTGAGGGAGCTACCTGTGGGTGCTTTATAAAAGCCGTGAGGAGGAAAAAGAACAAGCGCACCATCTCAAATTTTGGTGCTGATAGCCTCTATCAAGCACTTTTCAAGCAGCGCTGGCAAACGACTGGTGTGAATGAACTCAGTGGCCGAATTCACTGCTGCACATTCGAATCAGTGGCTGACATATTACGTCTAATACACGTAGATATATAATTTCGAGTCCAATGAAAAGTAACTGCAGCAACTGAAACAAAACAATCTGCACATTTCATCCTGCAAGCTGGAAAATGATAATGATGGTACTCGAGCTTCTATGAAGACTTAAAACATCTTAACTGTCATTCTCACAACTTTGGGGTTTTAATTTATTATTACTATTATTTATTTATTAACTATACGATATGTCATCACATCTTGTGTAGGGATCTTTTCACTTCTTGCAATCCTATCGTTTTCCTGACATTCATCGTCTACAAAGGTCTTCGAATGTTTCACGGGTTCCGTCGATTGGTGCTCGAGGATTTCGTGTTTCATGAACGTCGTAGAATGCTGGTTGAATCGATTTCCCTTGCAACCTTGGGAGATAGCCGAGCTAAGACGTTCCCATGTGCATTGAAGGTGCGTTGGGTAGGGAGTTGAAACAGCACCTTGCTTCCTGATGGACTGAGAGCTTTTAACCAACATCTCCTACACCACTTTTAGTTAAGCTATATATTTTTTGATCTTTTCGTATTATTCAGATTATTTTCTTGGCCTATCTCCTAAGCGACCTAAAATTAAAAAAATATCTTCTTACTTTTTATTTGATACCAAAAGTGCCTGTCTTCACGGCTGTCCATAATTCTTGAAGAGAAGCTCAACAAGTAGTCAAGTATGCATTTTTATACTTACTTGCTTACTTGATACTTGAATGGCCCGTCATCACTGGTTGTGCGGGCTTCAGCATAATCACCAATTTTCGGAGATTTGCTGATTAAGCCATTGTGGTTCCCTGGAATCCTGAGGTCAGCCTGGCCAAAGTCTGCCCCAATGTATTTTTATATGCTACACAAATATTCAACTCAAAAACTCAGCCGATTGGGAAATTTTAAACCATGTCTTGCGAAGTCCCTATAGGTCTTATTTCTTAGTGAAGCACTATGGCTTTGCAGAGGTCATTTTTTTTCTGATTATTTACTTTGATGCAAAAACCATTTTCCAAAATTTCTTTTAATCAGTCGGTGGCTTGTCTAACTCAGATGTCATTGCGGCGATGGACTGCGGAAAGTTCTATGCTATATCTAAAAATGTAGAAAAAAGCTTTTCTAGAATGAGTTCACTGCTGGGTAATTTGACCAGTAATTGATTGCTAGGGCGCGTGTGGCGCACTGGTCGGATTCGTCGTACAACACACACGCCCCGCGCCCGTAGCTCACCAAACTTTCCATTCCTCCAGGGTCGCCAAGTCGGTGCCAGACTTGTTTGAGAGAATAGTAGCACTAGCTTGATGCATTACTAGACCACCGCGAGCCATTGTAATGGTCAGATATGCATTCAATCACCTCCAAACGATGCTTAGTGAAGTCGAATGCATGGCTCATTCCACAGTGATTGATCAACGCCGAGAGCTTCATCCTTCTATCCTTTGATTTACTGTTGTTTCAATTCCAATCGTTATAATAATTGGTAGTTATCCTATAAAATCGACGTGTATGATGAACACAACAGCAGATTCAACATACTCTACAAAACACTTCCAAATTATGGCAGCGATGCGCTTGTGTGAAAGGCTACAGTAACACGTAGTAAATGAGAGTATAGATACCATTCGTACCCATAGAGCGATAGAACGAAATATCTTCTGCAATTCTTTCATCTCTCAAACCCCTCAAGTTCTGTGATTGTCGATTTATTATCGTCTATAGCCGAAGAATCAGCAGGTCCGTAACAACCAAAGATACGGCGTCTTTCCAACCACTGACCGCACATAGCAAGGCGTCGTCGTGAAAGTGTTAAAGAGTTGTCTCTAAGCAATAAAAACACGTACTTTTTTCCAATGGTATTTCTCAATGTAACCAGCTTATACAAACTAAGTTGAGCAGCCGTAAACCGTAACAGTTTTTAATAAAGTGCAATATTTATAATATTTTATCGCCAAAGCGTTAGCATTCTGTGAAGGGATTCACGAAACTGACTCGCTAACAGCCAGCTGGTCTATCTTTTTGCAACCATTTCACTAAATAAAGCCAATGTTAGCTAATCGATCCGTTACATAGATCCCATCTTGTTGTTTCTTCTTGCAGACATTGTGCGAGATGCTTCATACCGGTGGCTTACATCGTCGTCTATTCGTTTTGTGGACGATGTGGTTTGTAGCGTCCATCTGTGGTTACGCCACAGATTTGAATTCGAACACCATCAGTGGCGATTTCTTTCTGAATCAGATCATCTTCTCCGTCTTAATAGCCGTTTCAAAGATGGTGAGTATCGCTGATCGCCTTTTTATTTCATTAGATAAAAAAGCGAACAGACCGTCTCCGATTTTGGGTCCTCGTCGCAGTGGACACGTTTGTGCCGTCGTTCAGCAGACGAATCCTTCATCAAGGCGCTCAAACAATTGTCTGTCTGTGCTTTCTAGTGTTGTTTTTTCTCACGGTGCAGGGTTATTCGGTGAGTCTGAGTTTTTTTTTAAACCGAACTAATTTAGAAAAAACGTACGATTTTTCCGTCCGTAACAACAGAAGTAAAAAAAATGACTAGACTGGACGGTGATTATCTCTTAATTCCGTATTTTCTTCACCAATGGAAAGCACTTTGTGGCAAGGATACAGAAGCCGTACAAAGCATAAACAATGTCAAGAAAGTTAGGACTTCAGCTTTATAATTCTTACCTGTACCATGTGTATCATCTGCCGGCCAGAGTGGGAAAGGCGCGAGTAATGTCCCCATTTAGCCGTGTTGTGTCTGAGAATAGCCCAGTGGATTTTGCTCGTTTAGAGACTCGCTGAGCCTCATGTTTTTCTTAAAATGTTTATCTGAGTAAATGGAGCCATTTCACGGTAGTCTGATAGTCTTTCTAGTGTGTGTTTGACCTCTCGTCGATTTCAATGGCTAATGGCTGTTGTCTATCAGAAGTCTTTCAGATGCATCATTTGTCCGGCCCACCCGATTTTCGACATTTGACGTGTACAGCGGTGCCTTTCGTCTTTGATCGTTGACGAGTGTTGGAGCTTCGGATCCCTCTCTCACTTGCATGAAAACCGATTACTCATCGTCCTTTCAATGAGGGCTCAGTAATGCTGACTGATCTTTCATCCTGCTTACGCTGCGAGCGGGCTTCTGACGCCTACGTTAAAGCAGGAAGAATCATGAGGTCGAAATATCCTCGATGCTACTAAATGCTCCTGTTGCAGCTCTCCTGCTCCTATTCACGTTTGGAGCTGAGTCGTCCATCATCTTTACATGTTGACTTCCAGGTTCAGATAAACATACCAAGATTTTCAGTCAATACGTTTCTCAAATTGTTTCGTTTTCTGTAACAGCTATACCGTATAAAAGAGCGATGTCGCGTGAGGTGGCCCTATTCGAGCGGTGCTCTAACCGAAGAAGATTGGGCTCGATACGGCGGCGAAGACACCAAGTCAGGAAGATGGCTCGGCGTGGGCATTGATTCCGATCATCGGCTCTGAGCAAGAAGAAGATGTCGAAATGTTTGCCGAACAAGAGTTGTTTATCATCACCAAGTTTACTTTACAATGAAATAAGATACAATTCTCATAGATTATCACTGTTAAGGAAAGCTGCACTTTCACAAATCGTGTATTGCTTTTTCAGGCTTCTTTTTTCTCAACTATTAAGATTTAACATTGTAGGGTGTCGCAACATTAATCATCAATGTAACCGGTACGATCTTTATCGAGTACACTTGGGATGCGTGCTATTTGTGTGCTGTCGAGTCGATGGAGACGTCGTGCCGAGCCAGCGCCACCGGCACGTGCTCGTTGATGGCGCGGGTTGGCGCCATCATCGCTCCATTCGTGAGTACAGTCGGATACCAAAGCTTATTTATTATGACCGTGTCAAACGCTAGGAGCAGTGTAAAACAGACAGTACAATTAGGTTTAAAGCGTTATAGCAGAATGGACACAAAAGTAATACTAAAGATGATTAAGGATTGCCAATGCTAGAGAAGAACGCACGAGAAACAGCTGAAACTATTTGCAGTGTGACTCATGTGGTAGTTTCGTTCACCTTTGCAGAATATAACGAAACTATTTCTAAGATGATGTAGTAGTGAACACGTTAGCCTTCGGAAAGGGTAATAACGCGTTCGTTCCCCACCGCAGACACTTGCGGTCCGGACTTTTGCAAATATCTCAGCACGGTTGTGGTTGTCTTTTCAAGATGATAATCTCTGATAAAGATGAACAACGTAGAGTTATGTAAACACGGTTTAGTCTGGTATTGTATGAATATAATCATCGACAGCTCTTCCATAACCAGTTATGGATGATCTTTCAGTACAGGAATGTGAGTTGCTGATGGAATAACGTCCAGCAACATCTCTCGCTTTTTTTTTGATACTGTGGAAAACGGTCTTGCTCCAATGATTAGCCTACGTGATCGATTCCAATATAATTTGCCTCCATCGTTCTGGCAAACGACCATATTTTGGCTCTTATTTGTTAATATTTAAAATAAAACTGGCACTCTTTATACCTCTGTCTTTGAATGGTTTTATAAAAAGCTCATGAGAATCTCTCCTTGGGAACATAATGGAAAAAAGGAAGTTTAACGTGAGCTACCGGCCATGTTGACATTTCAGCTGACCTACGCCAATGTGTACTGGCCACCATCGGTGTATCTTGCCGTGGTCATACTTGGTGTAATGAATCTCATCGTTTCCTACTTTTTCCTGGTTAGTGCATTCCATTTTTTTTTTGGAAAAATTTCCTCACTTACAGTTACCGTATTTTAACATGTAGCTACTTCATAACATGACATAGTAATTACGTTAGACGTCCATTATGAATAGATATGTAGCTAGTAGTTATAGATCCTTTGGAATATACAAGGGGTCGTTGATTCTGTCCTACACTGCGATTAACGTTGTTCGGAGCCCTACTAGTGTGGGTTATAGGAAAAAACGACAAAATACATCGTTAGTCCTTGCCAGTTTCTCTGTAAGCAAACTATGCGTTCGAACATCTTACGACGTTACGAATGGATGTGAATACATAGCGCATCATTAATGAATTTATTGAAGAAGAACACTTCACCTTTTGTCCTTCATCCGTCGACAAAATCTTGTTGATTAGTGATACCTAGGTTCAAGAAAAGTCGGTTTCGAAATATTACTACGCTTTGTGCTAGCTGATAACATCACCGACTTCTGCACGATGTGCGCAATGATGTATGTCCGGAAGAAAAACAAGTTGTTATCACCGGACATTATCATTATATCCACCATCAGCATCGTGTATAAAAGGGCATCACTGAGTGAGGATGCCTCATCCGAGGAGGTGGCTTACTGAGGAAAACCTGATTCGACACGAAGGCGAAGCTGCCACGTCGAGGCGAATAACAACAATGGACCATCGACTCGGATCATCGGCTCTGAGGAAGACGAAGACGTCGAAACGTTAGCCGAAAATAAACATCATTATCAACCTCGTGTGAGCTCATCAAAGAAAGAATACATATTGATTAGTGATACCGAGATTCAAGGAAAGTCGGTTTCGAAATAAATTCAATATCCCATGAAATCCAAACCTTGTTAATATCTACCTACTTTTCGTTGGAAAAACATCTCTTTAAGCTCCTGGAATTTTTTGCTCATATGCACTTCCATGATCCGTTTATAACTCATACCATCTAATCCATGCGTAGTTATTTCCCTCCTAGCGGTTTTCAAGTTCATCGTGGCTAGGAGGTGTTCCTGGGTGTCGGACTGCGATGCACAGCGGCAGGATTTGTATCCACGGCAGGGTCTCCCAAGCTGAGAGGGAGTCCGGCGTTTCCATCAGGAAGCCTAGCGAAGAGTAAACCAATGCCAGGATACGCCACCGTCCTGATATCAAAGTCGCGTGGTGGCAAATCTTCCTCTAATACATAAGGGCTGCGACTGTCCGTGGTGTTGAAGACCTGGGGCTGACTTTGGCCAGGCTGACCTCGGGATTCCAGGAAACCACAATGGCTTAACCAGCAAATCTCCGATAAATGGTGATTATGCTGGAGCCCGCACAACCAGTGAGGACGCGCCGTTCAAGTTTCAAGTGTCAAGTGGAAATTTCAGTAACGAGATTTCTCATTTTCTGTGGGTTTGAAAATGGGCTCATGGTTCCCAATCAATTCTGAGCAGTTGTGTAGTCTAGCTATCTCTGTCGCTCATGATTTAATTTGCAGACTTATTTCTCCCTTATGAAAAAACACTTTTAAAAGTGGAGTTTGTGGGCATATCGTGATGTACACGAGGGAGAGAATAAAGGCAGACTTGAGTTACCGCCGTGATAATAGCAAATAGCGTTTCAGGTTGAGACGAAAGGAGTGAACCTGGATATGGTGTCGTTGAACGAGATGCCGATTGCCGAGGAGGAGTCGATGCTCGAAAACGAGTCGTATGAGAAGAAACAATAATCCTCATCGTCATTCTTCACATACGTTCACTCACTTCCCAGTGATGTCTGCCATCGTGACACGGAAGACAGTATCGTCTTGTACAAAATCTACTGTGTAAATTTTTTGAATGGATGACAAAAAGCACTCAGAATACGGTTTACTTCTCTCTGTACAAATTCAACATAAATTTCTAGTGTGTGCTTTCCCTTCCCTTCCTCTCCTTGACTGAAATCTTACATTTGGAAAGGCTGATCGATTGTTGTGAATAGAAACTACAATATAGTCTGACCCTTAGAATGCACGAATTGGATTCCGTCTAAAACATCAGAAGAGTTGAACACCTTCCGGTTTCACAATTGCATACGGATCTGTGCCTTTGTTTTGTTATTGTTACAAAAGCATAAAATTTTATTGTGTTAACTGGAGAACATAAGAGCAACGGAATAACTCTGAGGAAGGCGAAACCGCCGAGTCTTCAGCCAGCATTGTATTGAATAAATCTTGCTGTAACGACAACCTCGTGTTTGCTCATCAAGAAAAGCAGTGAATTACTGATCAATCTCAAGGATAAAAGGAAGTCATCCCTAGGATGTGCTGTCATGGTTTTTACAATCGTTGAAAACATACTATGACTATCGCAATTCTGATTCTAAATTGTAAAGATTTCGTCCAAGCTGCGACAAAGATGCAACGATGTGCATTGATTACAATACGTATGATGTGAGAATACTGACCCATATTCAAATTCAAACCGAAATCTCCCAGATCTTATTAAAAATTATTAAACCAAGCTAAAACATAGCAATCCACGGGTTTTCGCCCAGCAAAGTACTGGTCATCTTATTTTACAAAAACGATATTGTAATTTTCTAGAACCTACAAGACTTTTTTTCGTTGAGATCCGTAGTAAGGTTGAGTAATTGAACCGTAGCAGCTTAGTCCAGAAGTAAATGACGATGCATCCCAGTGTATTAATGGTGAATGGTTCTATCCTTGAAAGTATTGAAAAATTAAGTTCCATTGTAACCTTTTTGGTAAATCTAGTTCTGACAGCTGTCAAAAAATTAAAAGTGTACAGCGTGTGTTAAAGATTGAGCAAAACCGAAGATTTAAAAAACCCAAGATTGAACCCAAGATTTTAATCACAGTGAACAAAAAATAGCTTACACATTTACCTCTTACTATTAGTCTTTCACTGAGTATGTCACCTAGAGACTAACCGCGCAGAGTTCGCATGTGATAAGTTTAGAAGGAGAGCGACGTTCCAAAACGAACAATATGGCCGAAACAAAACCCCGTTTTTCTTGCCCTTTATTAGCGATGATGTAGCGCTTAAGAAAGGCAGATCTAGAGGAATTGGTGGCGATAATTCTATGTGAAACACAAAGTTAAATAATTTCCCTTATGGCAGTAACAGTGACTGCATGAGCTCAGGTACAATATACCTGATCTCTTTTAGTATTTGCGGAGTTGAATACATTGGCAAAACGAGCAGACCGTTATGTATCCGTATAAAAGAGCACCTAGATGGTAAACAAAAAGTAAGACAAAATATCCCACTATGGATACATAGGATACAAAAGCATAACGGAGACGATTCTGATGTATAGACAGCTATCGTCGCATAGAATCTCAAAACACCAACACGCAAACTTTTCGAGGCTTTTTGGGTAAATGCCAAGAATCCGAAAATGAATAGTAGAGAGTAGCGCTCAGAGACAACACGCGATCTAGCTCGTATCTCAGAACTGATTTCTGATGTGGAGTGTAGGAGTCACAAACTATATGCGACTCTGAGTGGCTGTTCTTCCTCGGTTGAAGGCACCTAAAAGGCGGTAGCTTTTTCGAGAAGCCAGCGGCCGTGTAATTATCGTTCAGATTCCCATCTTTCTGCTTGTGCCGATGAGTTTTTTGACCTAGTAAATTACAGTTTATACTGCCAGGCTCTGAAGAAGGCAATACTGCCGAAAGTCAACTATCGTTGCGTAGTATGTGTTCTATGTGTAAGGAAGTAAAGGTGTGCTGAATAACAACCTCACGATTGCTGAAGAAGACAATGACACATTTATAAATTGACATGTAATGTAATTTTGTAATTTTTCACTGACAGGCTAACATAACATTGATGAAAAAGACGTTATTCTCCCAACGTTTCGACATTATCATCTTCTTTTAGAGCCGCTGATTCGAGTTGGTGGTCCATAGCAGTCCGCACTCACGTCGGTCTTCATAGCCGTATCGAGCAGAATCATCTTCTAGCACCCCCGATTGAAGTAACCTCACTTATATAAGTACAAAACGAACCTCCATAGATTTTATAATGAATTCATGTTCTATTAGAAGCCTTTCTATAACATGGTATGAATCGTGAAAAAGCAATATAAATGTACGATTATCACCTCATATTGATCAAAGTTATTTGGCAAACCGTTCTTAAGTTGTGTTTATTTACCCGATCTTCCGAGAATTCTGACACCCTGCTTTCTGGCAACCTCCTTGCCTCGAAACGATTACATAGTTTCGGGTAGCGTCTTTCCCCTTGTCTTGTACCTCAGATGAATTCTTCCGGATACCCCGTTTAGATGCACAGTACACATATTCTCTGCCAATTTCTGTGGCAACTTTTGCACACTTTAAACGATTCATAGTCAACGGCGTTGTTCGTCGTCTGTGCAAATTTTTCAGTAGCACTTTTGATCTGAAAAATGCCCAAGTTGACGGTTACGCCAGAACAAATCCGCATTTAGCAGATGGTATGTAACAAATTAGGGGCTTGAAGAATTTGCAACACACAGCTAGCAACTGCTAAAGTTTTCGATTGTAGGGTAAGAATACCAGCAATAAGCTTTCATACCTTGATTGGCTTCTAGATCCAAGATCTCTGTTTTATTTGCGATCAAGCACGACAAACATTTCTGAGTCCGCCGCTGAAGATAAAGATTATAGATGATTGTTTGAAAAAGAGAATTAGTATACACCCTGCCTTAATTATTTCGTTGTTATTAATAATCTTTCCGGTTAACACATAGAGAAAAGAAGCTTTTTGTTCGTTTTTTTCCTCTTGTTACGAATTCGATTTTCTAGATCTTGAGCTCTTCTTTCAAATATCCTGGTTCCATTGGAAAGACTTCCTTCGTTTTTCTATAAAAGGGTTTTGAGAAGTAAGCATGTAACCCTTCAAGAAGGAAATCACACTTTGTGTTCAATTCTTCTTGTGTGAACGTAGTGTAGCATCTCACACAACTAATCCGATGATAGCAAATGAACTATCCAAGTGTGAACACGGAGTTGCAACCATGTTTCAGTTCAGCTTCTACAAGTCATTTACAATATATTTGAACATTTCGATAACCCGTCTTC